ACAACAAAGGCTTACTATCGTCTCTCCTTTGCAATAATGTTTGACTCTTTTTTGCACGACGCTAACAAACGGAATTCCGCTATTTCGTTACCAACGGTATAGTCGAGACTTAATTAAGGTATAGCTGTCTTTACCCAAGTTTAGGCGAAAATACACAACAACAACCGAGCCGCCATGTTTGCGTCATGACGAGCCGCTAAATTGTGCCCATGAGACGGCAACTTAATAGCTTAACATTGCTGTATAGAAACAGTTCGAAAAATTGCCTGATCCGAAATTCTCCTTCAGAATAAATGGAAACATCGCTAATTTGAGCTCTAAAAGTAATACGCATGCGATGTCATCGGTACCAATTAGCAACGCATCGCATATGTGGCAGGTAGAATTGAGTTGTCAGAAGAGTTTTCACCAAAAGATAAATTATTACGGAAAAAGAAAACATAGAAACTTAGCGACATACTAACTTTTTCTTTTAACTTTAAGCACAACCATGCCCCGCAACGTCCCTTGAATGCGAAGAGTTAATCTTCTCTCGCAAATCTCCCTACTCACTCGGCCAGTAACAGCACGACATATGGGCATGGTAGGACTATTGTAATAGTAATAGCGAGTAAACAATTTTTTTTTTTTGCTTCCATTATGTCCGTATCAGCGGCACAGTAAACACAGTAATATCCTAATTGTGATACGATTCTACAATATAATATGAACACGCTTATATTATATAATCAATAATGATAGTACTAAGTTTATTTACTTAAATTGTACAAATCAATAAACACACAGGGCGAGATAAGAACATTCATTTTACACCTTTTAAGTACCAGGTATCTGAAATATATTAAAAGCATATAATAAAGGGGAAAAAAGCAGGCAACTCTCAAATCGAAACGTTTACCCCCCCCCCCCCCCCCAATTTGCCTATCTATACCTATGCCTCATATTATGTAACTTTGCAGTTTTATGGCCAGTTTCTTCAACACACGTCGTTGATCAACATAAATATAAGTCTATGCTGCTCTATCATTAATAAACAGGACAAAGGTGCGCTTTGCGTATGTATACGTGTGTGTGTGTGTGTGTGTGTGTGTGTGTGTGTGTGTGTGTGTGTGTGTGTGTAAAAAGCCAAAAAAGGACAATAGTTTATTCTGAAGGTTCCGGTGTGCTCAACTTTTGTTGCACATCCCATGCGCTAAAGGTGTCGTTGGACGACTCGGCAACATCATTTGAGCCAGAAACTCGTCGTATTTACCTGATTAGGATATTCTGTCTCAATTCAAAATATAGAGAAATAGCGGGGTAATGCAAAAACCGCGTCATAAAATTAGAGCGTGTTGTTGACCGGTCTATTAGCCCACAAGAGGTAAATGGCTATGGAAATGAAACCGGGACATTTTTATCACAACGTCTCATATAAAAGATACAATTGTTCATTAGAAAGCTTCTTTTATTGAGAACGAGTAATTGAACGCTACTGGAAACGTTTCGGTTATCTAGAAACTAGGCCACTGATACAAGTGGATTATTTGAAAGACCAGCTCTTTCCCCACTGCTATCTACCATCAACAACACAAAGTGAAGCACAACCTTACTCTTCATTCGAAAATCATCGTTCTACTATTGAATAAATGCGGTAATAATTTATGTGACTGCTTCATTTTGAGATACGGAACAAGTTTTAATATTTCCATTACAATAGCCTAAAATAGAACATGTCTAACTTGAACAATCTTCTACAAGCTTCTAAGGCTGCATTTTCGATATTTTTTAATACAAAGTCTGGTAGCTGCTGATAACGTTGACCTTATTCCAGGCATTTTGTATGATAGTCGAGGTATAAATATAGAGCGCTTTAGAAAGATTGATTATAATAATTTCGAATCCAATCATTTTAGAGATGTGTCAGTGCTCGTACCAGAAGAAGGAACATAGCCTGTAGAATATAGAAGACAAACTATGTAAACGATCTTCCCAGTATGCCATATAACGCTACAGCTCCTACAAATAACCGAAACTATTAAATTGGAATTTGTGTTTTTGTGCTTTCTACGTGTCGTTACTTTATAGAAGAAAATTTCGAGTCTCTGCGTTCCACAGCCTTAAGCGGCCGAACGTAATTTGGTTGCTAAATAACTGTGCACAGCTTAACGCATTTACCATTATTCTTTTATTATGATAAACTCAGCTCCAGGACTGGCTGGCCTTCTAGCCTATAAAGTTACGATGCGGCAGCTAGTCTAAAATGACACCGAAATAAGTGTCGCAACCAGCTAAGTAGATACGGGATTAGTGGGTCGGGCCTAGCTAGAGAAGCAACTCAAGTTGGGCTGAACGAAGCCCTAGGCGATGCGGTTGTCATAGCACGTTAAAGAGTCGTAAGAAGTTAAGCCTGTCGGCAAACATCGTTTACTCGCTATGCAGATGAGCCTACCTGAGGATAAGAGCTGAAAATGTTAACGAAACATTGTCAAGTAAAGCAGCACGTAAAGGTGAGAAGGGAGCCTGGTACGTAGAAGGCAAATCGATAAGGACATCCATGTAAATAGCTAGACGATATGTGTATGTGGTGCGCTAAAGTAAAAGCTGAAAAAATATGACACGTATAAAAACAATCGAACAGGCTGTGTGCGATTGCGAACGTGTCCTTTGGGCAACGAGCTAGACCTTTTTTGTCATACGAAGCCCGTCCTAAATTAAGCGTTATTTTTTTTATAATGTAACATTTACTTCTTAGCGCCATCGAATTTCATCTCTAATATGAAATATATATAATAAATATGTCGTAGCTTATTGAACGTGCACAAGCACCTTGCAAATCATGACTCTTAAGCCAAGAATAGGGCGCGTGAGTCAGTTAAATAAATGGTGTACCTTTTAGGCTTCTATGCCCGCAGAGGGCAAGCTGTAAACCTAAAAATTATGCCCAGATCGCGCCGCATTTAACTTGGATCGAAATAAAAAAGAGTTTTAAGTTAACTACCTTAATAACAATAGACACATAAAAATTAAACTCCAAATATCAAGCCAAGTGGATTGAAAGCGCCAGTTGTTGAATGTATCATAAAGTTCATATACCTTAAGCGTATAGCCTCAGAATCGAATTCAATAGAAGCTTGCCAGGTCTCCTTTCTGACAGTCTGATCCGCAATGGTATCTATCACAGTGGAGTCGCTCAGCGTCATGAAGCCTTTAATGTCTTTCCAATGTTTAATTATAGTAGGCAAACAGCTTACCCTACGGTGAAAATTATTCCCGCTACCGTCAAGCGCTGCCTAATGCACCAACCATAGTTATATTAGGATCAATACCTGTTTTAAACCAGGTAGCAACAATGGACGGCTGCGTACAGCTTAACCAATGAAAAAATCAACGGTAATATTATCATGATAGAAAATCATCACCTGCTAATCACCCTAACAGCTAATCTGACAAAATCAGCTCGGGTATTTTTGTGACATATGTTTATCCTCTTCTATTAGTTAGAGGCGGGTAGGCAAAGACGAGGAAAAAATAGCATGTTTCTACGTTCTACGAGCCTGTGAACTTCGTCCTACGCTGAACCGTTAGAGCAGGGCATATTTTGTCCAGATCAACTACAGAAATCAATTTTAGTCCATCATACTTAAGCGTTCACCTCGCAGCACGTAAATATCAAAATAATTAGCGATATATCTAGTCTATACACGCGGTGTTTTTAAGGCTGAATATTTCGCCAATTGAATATGTTTATTCGATTATATATATATATATATATATATATATATATATATATATATATATATAGTATACGGTAAATAGAATAAGTACGTAATAAATAAATTACCTCTGACGCCTCACATACGCTCGAATCGAGACAAATAATGTCTGTGCCTATCGGCCTAGCTGATCGTTTCAAATCAAACAGCGTCCCAAATCGGCCTGGCTAAGTTTGCCTTGATGGGTATCAATGACATCATACAGCTACGATCAATTCTTTTTTCCTTTAATTGCATAATGGTCTGGTTTGTCTAGTTATTTGTTTGCTATAATAATTAACGCATGCTGATAATTTTAACAGGCTGATATAACGTACAAAGGAAGAAACACACGAGCCCTTTACGTTACGATTGTAGACATATGTCTTGTTAACTTATGCAATAAAGTTTATGGTCTATAAAAATGTTACCCAATCATTGTTTTTCCGGTCAGTTTAAACATGGTTTAATTAAAGGCATTGGTCGCCATCTGTCGGCAACAAAATGAAAATCCGGAATCACAAACGGTTAGAGAAACTAGCTAATCCACGAATGAAACAGCTGTATTTGTCGTTCACTGAAGACAGGATCGAGATAAACACGAAATCAATTTACTGTGACAGCATGTCAATTTGGAGGTAAACACCAATTTAATTTAACTCGGAGGAAAACTTTGAGCCCGAATTATTTAGGATTCGAGTTGTACTTGCTCGGCTGATGTGCACCTTGTGGGCAAAAGTTCGTTTGTGTTATGAGTAGGCATCGTGACGTCCGAGGTTTCTCTAAGCGAAACAACAATAACGACAGGATAGAGGAACTTTTGCCCATCGGATTTGGCTCCGAGTTGGCTTCAATTTAGATATTAATGTTCAACTAATATCAGCGTAATCTTCGACTTGACTGGGTCTTCTCACCGCCATCTTTATGTCGTCTTGAAAGACTTTTCACACCGATTTAAGCTGTCGTTGAAACTATCACTATTGACGTCGAGACTGGATTTGAATGATTCTCACGCCTTCGTGTCAAATCTTCAAAGGACCCATATCTGATGAGACCAGAACTTACCTCTGTTATGTTTTCTTTGCTTATGGCCCCCAAGGAAGATACCACCACCTGTGATCGATTTTTGCTCCGATTATACAGCTTCTAAGCAGTATCCGTCGCTTATTTTGGCTACTTCTCAATTACAAGAGCGACTCATAATGTACTTGTTCATTGTCTACTATGGCACATACACGCTGCATCCAATTTAAAGGCTCGACTTACCTTGTCTGCTGGCCTTCTCTTTGTTGTTGTTGTGGTGGTTGAAGCACTGATGAGTTGTAGCCAATGACCACAGGTGCTTGATAAAGTGTTTCGTACAGTCACCTAGTTCAACCGAACCTGATGAAGAACGAGTTGTTTTGGATTTTCACTATTTTCCTGCTACAGACTCGTTCACGATATGTGTATCTGTGTATATGTATTAGAAATCACTGAGGTCCGCTATGATGACCAAGATGATTCGATTATTAGAACAGTTTGTTTAGGGTGTTTCTTCCTCGTTGAAAGGTCCACTCTGTGCTAGGTTAAATGATTGTTTTTGTCCGTCGACAAGTCGCCCTCTAATTGCTGATAGTACGGCAAAGTTAAACTGGATTCGCAACCGAAACCGTTCTCGTCTCTAACCACCGCGAGCAAGTTCTTATAAACACTCGAAATAAATTCGAGTCAAACTTTATCACCCGTTGTTTTCTACCCCGACAAGTTCTGATCAACGCCGCCAGCGCCTATGCATCTGAACTTGTCGTTACCGCGTAATGTCTTTGGCGTGGCCTAGTGCTTCTTGTCCGTTTGCGTCTTTCTTTTCTTTCTATTTTATTTCTTCTATTTCTTAAGCTAGGCCAATAGGGAAGACGGCGAATAGCAATGTTGCTGGTAGCAGTGGATATGGATAGCGCTGGTGCTGATGCGTGGGCCTCCGGTCTCCAATGCGGCGGTGCAGTTCGGGACGGTGAAGATAATGCGGGAGAGGGGGAGCAAATAGGAAAGGGACGTAAAGACGTCAGATACGCACCAGAACATTACCTTCTCTCGGAGGGTTTCCCCCTTCCTTACAAGGACAACGACGGCTGCCTATTCTGCTGCGCCCTCTGCTGCCACGTCCATCGCCATTGTCGCTATTACCACCGAACCCCACTAGGCTACCGGCTGACAGCGGACGACGAAGGTCGACAGATCTGTTCAGCCCGCGCGGCCCCCTCACACTCGCGCAGCGCCGTCGGGGGTGAAAGGACGAAGGCAGCCGCTACTGCTATTGCCTCTGCTGCTACCACCATCATCACTAGCAGCTATTACTGCTACTGCTATGTTGTCGTCACGGAGAAGGAGGGCGGGGATCAAGTCGAATTGGGACCCTACGAGCTGCTACGAATGTCTGGTTTCTACGCGTGGTCCTATGGTGGAAGGTTAGGGGAACGAAAATAAACTCTGCTTGAAACACCAGGTGGGTGTACGGCGAAGGCAAGCCGAAAGCGTGCTGCATGTTCACCTGAGGTCCGCCAACTGTGCTACCCAAGACAAACCAGAGAGTACAAGGTCGTCAAACAGGTAGGGTACAAGAAACGAACGTATCGATAGCAGCAGCAGCAGCAGCTTTCGGCGAGTTCTCTAACAGGACTATAGAGGAGAGTGTACGGATGGACGTTTTAAAGCTAACGATAGTGAGAGGGCCGTGGCCGCTGTGTAGTTTCGGCCGGACTGAGTACTCATATATGGTTGGAGTCGCTAAACGCAGCTCACGGCTAACGGCTGCAACGCGGCTAGAAGGCGGTGGGTTGTAATGTGGCCGAATAGAAACGACATATGGGTTCGCGTCAAAAATTCCGCTTTTAAGATAGCACTTGGTTCAAGGTTGCTTATCCGCGGCGCCACATACGTTATTGCATCTCTGTCGCACACTTCCTTATACTTGCGCTGATTGTGCCCGCTGTGGATATGGTTGCAAAGTTTGTTTGTAGCCATGATTAGCTAGAGGCGAAAACTACACAGAGGGATGCTTAAAAATAAAAGAACTGTGTAAGCCCAGATGAGGCAGTATGCCTTTCTTTCTAGGATATTGGAACGTATTTCCGTTGGCACTGGGCAGTTAGTTGGATTTTTCTCTACTTTGCTCGTTTACAGACTCGATAATGGTAAGGACACGGAATGATGATCTGGAAAATAAGCGAGGACGCATGAGGGACGTCGCAGAAATGTTTCGGTTAGTGCTTTTATTTCTTTTTATTTCGTGTGGCATATCTGGCTTGCTACACATCTTCGAGGAGTAAACGCATTATCCGTGTACAATATAGTAGATCTTACGCTTACGTCCATATCTAGTGTGGTCTGACTTCTGCTACAATGATTAGAGTACGGGAAGTCTAAGCTTATAAAAATGCAGACCTCACATTGTATTGTCAATAGGGGAGCCGTATAGAGTTTGAGTAGAGGTCTAACAAAACAAATACATGCCCCTTCTAATAAACAACAATTTCGTGGCTTCAGTTAAACGGCCATTTGGTGTCCAGCGGGCCGGGACTAATTGATCGCCTATGATATGAGTCTGATTTCAAGGTAAAAATTTAGCTATTTATTCAAGGTACAGCATATCTTGAGTTCCTCCGCATAAAAGGAGAACGACATAGAGACTCAGTTCAGTAATGTTATTATTAGTGAGCACTATTCTGAATGAATAACGACTATTGGCTTGCCGGAAGCAGCGACGATACCTTAACGAATTAGGCCAACCACGATCACTTCTAGAAGTAATGAAATCAAACTGTTCTTTCATGCTCGCTACCTTCGAAAGATATGTACCCTATTGTAAAAACACACGTAAAAAAACGCGTGGGAGGAGAGGGAACCCGACAGAGAGCGATACAAAGAGAGCTCGATGTTCAACGTGGTCACATGAGAGTAATTTAACTAGAAAGAAAATATATCTCAATTTCTTTACGAAGTCTTCCTAAAGGAAAATTCAAAGGGTTTTGCTGGCGAGATGTTAGCCATCGCAAAAACAGCGAAGGGAGGCGAATGAGGCACATGGTTTCGAACGCACGGTGCAGTTAATCGTGCTTTTCGGATCCAATCTGCAGTGTCAAGTGAAAATTTCTGCTTTTAGGCAGGGCTGGTATCTTTGCCTGCATGTTTCCACCTAACCTAGCAACGGTTAAGCGCAAACAGACTAGAACGTATTGCTGCTACCTCTCCATCGTATGGTATGATTTAATTCGTATGGTGTGACTAAGTTCCCTTTCATAGACATTGTTTTACAAGTACTGATTTGTCAGTGGGTTAAAGCATTAAGTCGGCAGTAATCATAAGCTAGGCTATAGCACATAACTTGGGCTAAGTCAAATTTGTGTAATGGGGTCCAGCAATGGTAGAATAGGCAGACATACGCAACGTTCTAATGACAAGGAAACAGCTAGACGAACAAATGTTGAGTGGATATCCTATAACAGATCGTAAGATATTCTATATGAAGTTGTGAGTGTAGTTTTGAACTTACTGATTACCAATATTCCATTCGAGCATATACAATCTGAGCGGATTTTCTAAAGACGGGCGCGTCTGTCCTTGTGTGTGTATTGGTCTGTGGGGAAATCTCGGAACGTCCCAAACCATCAGTCGGCGCAAACGTATAAAGCTTTAACAAAGAACGCCGATCTATGTCTATGTTGACACTCCCGTTGTGCTGCCTGCCATTCGTTCCGGGCCCACAGATCCACTTTTACTAGCTTCACTTCTAAGTTTGAGCCTTACAAACGTAAGGGGAATAGGAGTAAAAGAAACAATAATGGCAACAACAGCTGGATCAACGCTGTAATCATAAACATAAATAGCAATAATAGATGAACGAAAATTACTGCTACTTTAGCCCCCTGGCACCACAAGACAGGCAGACGAATAAGCAAGCACCGATTGACCATGTTGCTAAGCAGCAGACGCAAGCACCCACATTCAAAAGGAACCTATATGCAGTGCACTCAACTCTATTATACATCGTATCTCAGCTACTCGTACCGTCGTCGCATATTGTGGTGCTTGTAGAACCGGCGGAGGCAGGCAGCGGCATTGAGTGCGCCAGTGTTAGCGGGAGCGTCAGCCACATTAAATGGAAATCGTATAAGCTAGTTGGTTCATACCATCCATCAGAGCAACGATGGTGATTAAGCAGTTCCGCAAATGTCTCGCTACCTGCCGGATTACGAGGCTAGCTATTAGATGTAGACGTCGGCTGAATACGTTGACCTCGTATCCACACGTTCGCTATGATACTATGACGTCTAACACTTCCGTCTCTAGGAAATGGAACAAGCGCGACTGTAAGGGCTCGAGCAAGTAAAACAGGTTCAGCGAGGGATAGAGGTGGGGGAGGAGGCAAGGATATCACGAGAGTCATCATTTCATTCCAGTCGACGTGCGCAGATCGAGTGAAACCAGGCGTGCGCGTTTCTGCTGTGCTGCTGCGCTTATTATTATTGTTGTTGTTGTTGATCCTGTTGAGCCGATCCTGCTGGCGCCGTTGAAACCATTGCTATTGCCGGCCCTGCCGACGATCCAGGACGACGGCGGTCGAGTAGAAGCGCCTACTCGGGTATGTGGTCTAAAAATCCACTCCGCGCGTCCGGTACATACGACTAATAAACTACCCGCTACTGCTACTGCTTGTGCCACGGATCAAGGTAGACTCGGTAGTGGGACAGCAGCCTGGTGGACGTATGGAGCTCGGCGCTGGAGTCACGTTCGAGCTGAGATTTTATTGCACGACGGAGGAAGACGACGATGAAAATGTCGATGAATACTCTTGAGGACTGTAAAAGGAAAAAGCGGTTTAGGAAGACTAGACTACGAACCTCTTCTTGGTGGAGGAGCTGAGGTCGTTGAAAATGTTGGACTGATATAGATTGCAAGCCGAGGACCGCATCTCCCCACGTACATTAACATAAACGCGGTTACTGTACTAAATGCCGCGTTGCACCGTTCTGCTTTTAAGGTTTGGAATGCATGTATGTAGAAGGTGTAATGCTACCCCTAGCTAGCCGGAAGGCAGTGATTTGCAACGTTCCTGGATTTCTATATTGTAAGGATTCTAGGATTATGCATTGTATTAATAAGCATACCTATACGTCTATTTATACATACATAATAACTTGGTATCTAGCATTGTATATATGTCAATTGAAATGATAAAAAATTACCTTAAATCAGAGGTTGAGGCTTTCTCTCTCACAGGATTTAGTGACCTTTTGAGTATTTTGTGCATCCATGCCATACAAAAGCTAAGGAAGAACACAAACAATTTTTGCCCCTCGTTCGAATTATGCCCATACCTATGAGATTATATAAAAACAAAATCACATTATTGCACGTTACATTTAGGTCTATGGAATACGATTCGTCTTTGTATCACACTGGCACTATGTACTGCATAACTTTCCGATGATGTTATGCCTGTCAACTGTGCCATAATTTACTTACTTCTGAACTTATAATTGCATATTCACCGAATACTTACTAAATCGACAGTAACGATAGCGCTTTATAGAAGCGTCTCTTTATAGCTGGCCAACTTAAACACAGAACTAGTGGAGATGGTTTATGGTATACTATAACATCATCAACAACAACAGTGGTATCGTTGATAATTTTACGTTCGATGCTGGCGTAAGAGATCGCTTCGGTATATCGCACGAGACAACATGGGCCTACCTCAAGTTTTGGACCTGGACCACAAAATGTGACGGGAAACCATCGTCCCGGGTATGGTGGAGACCAGTCAAATCTTTCTACATATAGTAGGATCCAGAGAGATACATGGCGAATAAGCTATGTGCATCGACTCGTTTGGGCAATTTCACCGAGTTGGTAAACTGTAAGTGAATTCATTGCGCACGGTCGTGCCGTAACCAAATAGTG